GACAAGGGTCTTCAGGTCGCTGTCGGAACCCATGATGACAGCCACAGAAGGGACGGGCTTGGAGGGACCGGAGGGGGCAGCCTTGGTTTTGATATCGGGGCGCTGGGCGCGCATGGTGTCGACCACGTCGACGAGGGGCTGGATTATGGTCTCGGCTTCGTGCATAGTCGCGGCGGTGACGGTGACGTGGCCCATTTTGCGGCCAGGCTTTGCGGCGCCCTTGCTGTAGAGGTGAATGCTGGCGTTGGGGATGGAGAGGGCTGCCTGGGTGGCCTGGAGGTGGGAGTCAGGGGTTGCGCCACCGATGATGTTCAGCATGATTGAGGGCTGGAGAAGCTCAAGGCTCTTGGGTGGGATGGGCAGGTCGAGGATCGCGCGGATGTGGCTGTCGAATTGGGACAGAGCGCAGCCTTCGATTGTCCAGTGGCCGGAGTTGTGAATTCGGCTTGCAAGCTCGCAGAGCATGAGGCTGTTGTCTTCGAGGAGGAACATCTCCACGCCGAAAGCGCCTTTGCCTTCGAAGGCGGAGACGGCTTTGCGGGCGAGAGCTTGCGCTTGCTGGTTGATGGCGTCGGAGACATTGCGGGCTGGCGCATACACCAGCTTGCATATTGAGTCCTCTTGGACGGTCTCAACGGTGGGGTAGGAGAGGACGTCGTCCTTGGTCTTGATGACCATGACGGCGAGTTCCTGTAGACAAGTTTATATTAGAGACGTGCATGATGTTGTGTTTCAACTGCAGGTACTAACCATCTTGAAGTAAGCCCATTTTTCAGAGTAGAGCGGGCGATCCTTCAGAGCCTCAAGGGCCTCGGGGATGTCTTCTTTGGAGTTGACACGGAAGTTTCCTTTGATACTATCAACAAAAGTGTATACCCTCTCGGCATCATATATGACTCACCACGTCCGTCGTATGCCATAGTCTTCGACTTCAACATCATTGGGTAGCCCAACTCCTCTCCAATCTGAGCCAATTCCTCAGGTGTGTTGTTCACCAACTCCCGGTGGTCGGCCATGGGAATTCCATATTTGCGGAGGTGCTCCTTCTGGTTGAACTTGTTCTGAATTGTCCGGATAGCCTGCCAGCTGGGTTCCACCCGCACCTTCGACGCAACCTCCTCAAGAGCGTAGGTGTCGACGTGCTCGATCTCGGCGGTGATAACATCGCAAGTCTCAGCCAGTTTGCGCACGGCGTCAGGCTCCTTGAAGGAGCCGGTCACATGGCCGTCGTGGGCACTGATCTGCTTGGCGGGGGAGTTGTCGGCATCCAGGATATTGGCCTGAATGTTCAATCGGTTGGCGGACTCGACGAGCATGCGGCCCAGTTGGCCACCACCGAGGATTCCGACCTTAGGCGAGTTCCACATGATGTCGAATCGAAGAAATAAATGAGTCAATTGATCGAGATATGTCAAACGAAAGATCGACGGTGCCCCTCAACTCCGAAAATTCGCGGAGAGTCACGTGTTGCTATCGATAAGCTCAGACCAATCATCGACGTCGACTGCCGCGCCCTTGTCGCAGCTTCGACTCTCTTGTTTCTCCATGCACAGCTGACTGGACAATGTCTCTGGGTAGGTTTACCATCACGGTCGTAGTCTCAGCCTGAGTTGCAATGAGCCTTTCTGACATCAAAATTACAGACGAGGAAGCTCTCCAAACAGCCGCCAATGGCGGCCCGCTGGATTCGTAAGTGAAACTGTCATGCCAATATCCCCAAACGCTTCTAGGCTAACGCGCTGATACAGAGAGAGATGGAACGGCATGGCCGGGCCACTGATCGAGCGACTAGAATACGTGCGCTTTACTTCGATCCCCCTGACCGACTTATCTGACCAGTAGCTCCAGATCGTATACAACGTGTTCCCCATGCCTCAAGCGCGCCCCGAACCCATTGGCCAGCAATCATTTCCCAACAACTCTTCCCAGGCAAATTTCATCCCATCCGAAAGCAGCAACAAGGAAAATACCTCCCCCACCGATATCCAGACTTTGCCCCAGGCAGTGCGAACTGGCTCTCCCCCGTCGAGTGAGCGAGTGCCAGACTCACAGCCCCAGCCACCTAGTGCGAGCACGAATGGCCAGCTTCCACCTCCGCTTGCATTCCTTCTGAGTGCCATCCGCTCCTCGATTAAGTCATTCTTTGAGGATAAACCTCCACACACCATTCAGAGACTCGCAGAGCTGGTCCTCTACCCGACCAAGCACTATAGAACGTTACCCGCGTACCTACGTGCTGTCGATCGCGTTGTCTCGGTGACAAGCTCCGCAGATATTTTCCCATTCCAAACTCCAGCTGTCACGAGTGCTCAAACAAATGGGCTAGTGCTTCCTGGCAATAGCAGCGGGGTATATATAGCCCCGGACTTTGCCCACGGCCTTGGGAGCGATGAGTCTCTAGGCGGTGCACTACTTACTCCGATCTCGTGGTTAACCAATACCCCGTTCGAAGGCGGGAATGCCACTGAAGATTCCGGCATACTAGTCGAGGGTACTTTTATCCATTATTACCAAACCACTGGTTTCCTGTTCACTAACGTTTCCCCTTAGGCGCTGCAGCTTTACCTACACAGCCCGAGGAGCAGGGTACCACAACCCTAGTACCCGCTGAAGCCGAAGGAAGCGCTGCTACCACCTCACCAGAGCCATCTGATGAGGTCCCTCACGCCCGTGGGCCAATCGTCCTTGGCGTAGAAGACATGGGTCTGCAAGACGGCAAAGGCGTTGAGATGCGTCTTGCCACAGACGGTGCCGCCGATGCCCCGGATGCAGCCGCTGCCACTGCCACCCAGGCCACAGAAGAACAGGCAAAGGATGAACCAACTAGCGACAAGGACGGTGATATTGTCCTCACAGACACCATACCGAAAGAAGAGGAAGAATCCAAGAATGAAGGTCCTTCTACGGAGCCCCAAGCAGGCAATGCAGAGTCTGAACCAAGTGGTGATTCATCCCAAGCGCCGGACGCCGAGAAGAAAGCATAAGCGAGCTATTGGTTTTCAATATGGATTTTTCTTTTTCTCTTCTGATTTTCTCGGTTGGTTTTATCCTGGATTCTAGCATCATGAGTAACGACCTACAAGATTATATCGATCAATTTTCAATGAAAGGCCTTTGCAATGCCTACATTTCTTTATAAATAGCTCAAGCTTGGTGGTTTCATTCATCTAGGATGGAAGTATAGATACATGAGATGATGCTCCCTGTTGTATTCCTTGCCAAATCTTTCATCTATCTACATAGGCCTTCCAAGGCCCTACTTACATAGTATCTCTATGGGTGTGTTCCTCACAGTCTCTATAATCTGAGAACTTTACTTTATTTCTGTCCTTTAGATCAAGTCTATAAATCGTGCTCGCCGTCATGCTGGGGCAATCATGAGGAGAAATATGGTATGATGATACTAGAACAGCGCGGACCAATTCCATGCCATGTCCATAAAAGGTCGACGGCAGGGCATCTTCTACTAACCATTGGGTTCTTCGTATAAAAGTGATACCATACGGTCCCGAGGACTATAGATCTCTTGTATACATATGTATACTTGGCTAGCTGGGTCACTGCAGGCGCGGATTTATTAGGACATAATAGACGACGTGAGATAAGACTGTACGACCTCGGGAAGTATGGCGTTGTCAATTAGGGCAAGCACGATCATCTGCACCTGACATGTGATCAAGATAATCTCTTACCTCCCGAGGTCTCCCGTGAGATCTCTTCTTGTTCACCACTTACGGAAATACTGCCCAGTCAGGGATGGCTTTACGATAACCCCAGCATAGAGTAGCATTCATATCCGTTGTCGTATGTTTCTCGCAGATTCCATGCCCGAAACTACATCACGAGCATCATGAAGCTCGCCACAAAGCTTGTGTATGGAACCTCGAAGCATTGGAAGTAACTTCCAATGTCCAATCAAATGTCTAGCAACAATGATTTTACTAATTGCCCAAGACTCATCACATGCAAGAGGTATGGCGACAAAATCAGGAGAGAGTACCAATTGATGATTATTGGCTAGGGAGAGGAAACGTTCCGATCACTATACTAGTCCCAATAGTTACAAGCCAAGCTATGCAAGCTAGACAATATTGCATATCATAAAGTGCCCGGAATGAGATGGCATATGTAGTCCACGCATGGAGTATATACTTCCAAAGCGCCAAATGCAAACAAAACAAACAGAAACAAGCACCAAACGTGGCGCACGGCACAAGTCTGGCCACACGGCCAGATCCAAAGAGGCCCAGAACTCCCCGCAAGGTCTGGGCCCTCTTGGACCTTGAAAGGGCAGTTTAAATACTTTAATCTTTTGGAATTCGGTCTAGACCTCACAGCTTATTTCTCCCCCTGCAGTTCGTCCGACCCGTGAAAATTGGAGGAATGCGGGTGATACATGGGATTAAGTGGGGATATCCCGGTGTTTCAGGTCAATTTCGATTGAGAGTTTGGGTAGTCGCTTGCTGGGCGTTAGTTCCTGGGAAATGGTGTTCATCGATGGATGTGTTGTACGTATGTCCATACGTGTGTTTGTCGATGTACTTGTATTCATATACGAAGCCCTTACAAGACAAGGTTTTACAAGACGAGCCCTGGAAGGATACTGTGTAGTGGACCCGATACCAAGTGCCCCTGCATGGACATAGGCACATAGAATGTGAGAGAGGTAAAAAAATAATATATTTGTAAATATGTACCTGACGAAACAATCTCTCTCCGGCGGCCTTGGAAATGCATGAACCCACGGTGGATATAGCTGACGCATGTAAAGTCGCACACAATTCGCCACCCAAATTAAACCAAACCCAACGCCAGAACCTGTAAAAGGTGGGAGAGAACTGCGGCGATTCAAGACGTCCGCGAAAAGTAGCAAAATGTACGATTTGAAATTTCGAATTCGAACCTCGTTATAGACAAGTGGGAATCATGAGTCAATGGACAGGCGGAAAGGTGAAGTATAAAAAAAAGATAAAAGAGATAGATGGCCGAAGGGAGTTGGTTTAGCCAGGTCGGCCAGCTTGCACGGCAAGCATTGGTTGAGGTTGGGAGTACATGCGCTGCCGTTTTGGCATGTTGGGGTTATCGGCCGCATTGCCCATTTCGGAGATTTGACGGCGATGCGGGGGACGAATAGGAGCGCCCCCAGTTGGGACTCCTACTGGTGCTGCTGGGTACTGGACGCCGTTCTGGTCAACAGTGTAGGCGGCTGGTGGAGCTGTAACGTATGGCCCTTGAACTGCTGGCATATTCGGTGGAACAGCCTGCATGTTTTGGAATTGGCTAGGCGATTGCCAGTTAGTCATTGATCCAGCGGGCGACTGGCCTGGAGAGCTGTCTTCTTTGATCGACTGGTTTGCTGAACTTTGAGTTGCAGCTGCCATGGTCACAGCGGCTGCGGAAGGTCGGACTGGCTCCATTCCTGGGTTCTGTGGTGAAATCTTGAGATGATCCAAGTGTCTCTCAAGCATATCGAGGAGACTCTTGCGGGTGAATGGTTTCGGAAGAACATCATCCATTCCTAAAACAAGTTAGTGGAAGGCCTTGACTCGAGTTTTGACGTTTGTCTTACCATGCTGGAAATAGAGCTGGATGTCGTCGCTTCGGATGTTCGAGGTCATGGCAATGATAGGGGTGCGATCAAATTGGCGAATAAGATGGCATGCCGATACACCGTCCAAATTCGGCATAATGATGTCCATCAGAATTAAATCGTATTTTGAGCCACCTTGGATTTTGTTCACAGCCTCCAAGCCGTCAAACTATTGAAGATATTAGTAACCTTGTGTGGGTCAATAGGACGAAACTGATGACGTACCGCGGTATCAATAACACACGAGAAAGAGTACAGGAATTTGCCGCCAATCTGTCGACAAGTGGCATCGTCCTCAACCAAGAGGATCTGCGGGCTGCGCACCCAACCAGGGTCCACATTTGTGCTCTTTTTCCGGTTGTCGGGAAACTGCCGACGAGCATCTGAGGTATCGATCTCCTGCTTGGCGGGCATTGGGTACGGAACATTGTTGATATGCTCGCTATACATGGGATCGATGCCGTTTGTGGCACCGACGGGATAGACCACTTGCTCCAGATCGCCGGTCATCTTGGGGTAAACGAGTGCTGGGTTTGGTGGTGCAGTTGTTGTGGGACGGAGCGAACCATTTCGCGCATTCGGATCCAAGGAAGGAGTTGAAACGACGGCCTTCTGAGGATCGTTCATCGAGTCGACACCGTTCATATTGAATTGCAGTTCGGCGTTCATGTCGTTCAAGAGCTTTGAGGCTTGTTGGAGGGGCGACGAGGGTTCGTCATCCACAGTACCAACCTGCGAAGGGCTCATTGTCGTTCCGGGCGCTTGGAATGTCACAGCCTTGCTGTCTCGACGCTGGCGCGCATCCACCGAAAGCAAGTAGGTCATCACCTGGTGAATGACATTCTCGTGGTTTAAAACCGTCTTCTGCACTCGCATGACTTCCTGTAGCATGAGCTGGTGATCCACCGTGAGCTGGGCATATCGGTCTGATAGATGTTGGATCTGCTGCTGTTGCGCCACAATCTGCTGGTTAAGAAGATCGATTTGTTGCGTGGGTACGGACTCGTCGGTGGGTTGGGTTTGTTTTCGTGGCGCGGGTGCCTTTCTTCGAATGTTGTCTAGCGATTCTTTGCTGTTTGCGCGGAACTCCGGGTGCTTGAATTCCCATGCCTATATGATTCGCGTGAGACGGTCGATCCAATTGACCTGTAGAATGGAGGAAGTGCCTACATTCTGCCCATATGGCGACTGGCCATTTTCTTCATTGTTTTGTCGAACCTTGTGGAAGTCATATTTATTCAGTTGGCGTACAAAACTGGCAAAGTTGCTGTGTTTAAAGTGCTTCGGTAGGATGGTTTTGGTGAATTTCTCGCACTGTGGGGATTCGAGTTAGCCAAGCACACCCTTTTCAAGAGAGCGAATGTGTCCACACAAAGACACGGGCGCATTACCTCCAATACCACAAAGGAATCGCCTTCATCGCCCCAGCGTACGATCGACGCATAGGTTGGGTCCTCCAGCATTCTAGAAAGATCAGATTTCCACGTCCAATAGCAGAAGTTAGCAGAGTACTCACTTGTACAGCTTGCGTACCTATTCATATTATTAGTATAATGAAGATATCTAAACATAACCCATAACAAAATAGGGTCACTCACAAAATCACTGGAGTTCCCAGCGGGGGCGGGATTGGAAGAGGTCTGGCCACCGTCCATGCTGGGCTAGACGGGTCGCGACCGGTCGAACAAGCAGGTCTGGCTGGTCTCGTCCCAACGCGGATAACCCTCGATTGTAAATATAACGGGGATATATGTCGAAAAGAAAGAATCTCAGGGAAGAAAGCCAGACCTTGAGGGTGGGAAGAGAGAGAAAAAAATGAAATAATAACGGGGGTACGGTCAGTTACTGGGTTTAGCGGTAGAGCCAAGTACCAAAGTTACTGTGGAGGTACTGCCTGGTACATACGATGGACTTGCTATGTTTCAACGTTACTGGGTTATTTCAACTGGTTTTACATTGCAAAATACTCTCATTAATTACATATCTTCAATGATTCTTTGCCTGACATCTGGACATTTCTTAATGCAAGGAGGTCGATCTTTGAATAACCCAGGATTCAGGGACCAACGAGGGGCAAAATTCCAGTATGTCACACACACACCTACTGAGGTACTAGCTAGGTATTGTACAGGTACAAGTTCTTAGACATGAAAGAAAGAGAGAAATTAAAAAAAACTTCATAATAACCAGATCTTATTCGCTATGAGAATAGCGAGATGCAGGACAGACATGATGGAGGGGATCGTGTCAGTGCGCACGAGATGGAGGGGTGGGCATTCCCCCAATGACCTGATGAAAAAATGGTGAGACATTGAATTAGCGTAGACCCAGTGGATTCAAAGAGACAAGAGACATTATAAAGAGCTTCAAGTCTTTCAGGTAAATGTACAAAGTGACGGGGATAAGCAGTATATGCTCCACTGAAAATAACGCTTTTAATATGTTTTTATATCCATAATATTTAGTGATCAGCCCTGCCATTCTCCGCGTGTCTCACTTCCAAGGTTCTCCTATCATGTGTGCAAGGCTCGGTTGAACAGGTTCGTTTCATGAACCTATGAATCCGAGAGGACTTATCCACTTTTACCGAGACCCGACGGTTATTAAATGAAAGGTATCATGTATGGCATTCAGATAGAATGTTTCAAGAGCTGCCTGAAAATCCGAGTTTCCACCCAAAAATTACCTCATAACGCGTTGCAACGTGGTTCACCATGGTCTAACATGGTCTAACATGGTCGAAAAGCTAGGCAGTCCAGATGGTGATTCAAAAGTCCAACACAAGTTTCCACCGTAGCACATAGTCGTCATAAAAATAAAAAAAAAGCACACTGTCACTTATATCACCTAAACCTCAGTCACGTCCATTGTTCAAACAGTGTTGGCACCGAACTTCATGTCGAACTAGAAGATGACTGCATCCTTCAGCAGGGGGGTTGATGATCCACCGTGTGACGGAGCAAGGATCCACTGTGTCATGGAGGAATAGGATGTGACTTCATATCATCCGATTCGAAGATAGCCAGTCTGCCCTGTTCTTAAACGAGAGCGATTATCATAGGTGATAGCTCATATAGGTTGCTTCGCGGTACCTGCGGTTTAGTCTCCGAAGGTCACACTGGTATCCACAGGTCGAGGGCGCGTTTCTGTGCCAATCAATGATGTGTGTCGGATAAGGATGAAATTAAACATATAAAAGCAAAAAAGCAAAAAAGCAAAGAGCATCAATATGGCAATATGAACCTTGAAAGGAGGTGTAAACAGAGTTCCCGAAAATAATGCAATAGCAACGGCCATGACGAAATCCCAAGCTCCCCTCGACATACCGCCCTTGATCTTCCCCATTATTATTATTTGACTACAACGTAAATTCCTTACCACTTTCATTCCTTTGATACCCTTAACCCAATCCCATCACTAATCCAATTCAAACCACCATGTTCGCCCGCCGTATCGCAACCAACATCCCCCGCGTTCGCGCGCAAGCATCCCTCTTCCACAGCACCGCGCCCGCGTTCGTGCAAAAGGGCGACGCCATCCCCAACCTGGACGTCCTGGTCGAGAACTCCCCCGGTAACAAGGTCAACTTGGCCAAGGAGATCAAGAACAAGGCTGTCATCATTGGCACTCCCGCTGCCTTCAGTACGTGGACTCATCCTACCGTGGTAGGAAACAAAAACTGCTGTTCAGGACTGACATTCTCCGAGGCCCCGCGTGCTCAAGCACCCACGTTCCCGGCTTCATCAACCACCCCAAGCTCAAGGAGGCTGGCCAGGCTTTCGTCATTTCTGTCAACGACCCCTTCGTGTAAGCTATACTATATCGAGTTGCTGCGCGAAAGCTTTGTTGGGATGTTTGTTGACAAAGCTATCATATAGGACCAAGGCTTGGGCTGATTCCCTCGACCCCTCCGGCAAGAGTGGTGTAAGTTTTTCTCTCTACTTTCTGTGCCTTTTTATTACCGCGACAGTGCTGATATTGTCTTTAAACAGATTCGCTTCCTCGGTGACCCCTCCGGCGAGTTCACCAAGGCGCTTGACCTCAGCTTCGACAGCAGTGCCATCTTCGGCAACGACCGCAGCAAGCGCTACGTTCTTCTCGTCGAGGACGGAAAGGTCAAGGAGGCTTTCGTCGAGCCTGACAACACCGGTCTCAACGGTAGGCCTCTCTACCATCGATCCCATCGTTCTATGCTAACATCACTCGAAAGTTTCCGCTGCCGAGAAGGTGCTCGGTTAAAGTCATCTCTAGATAGAGCTGTAATATCCCTGCAAATAGTAGAAGAACAATATATCATATGCCCAAAGCACAAAGTTTCTGGTCCCTACTGCACGGTACTTCGTAGCACAAGATTTTAATGTACAAATATTCCATCCTTTCCAACCCGGCCAACGCCTGATAAACCAATTACTGCTGCAGAGCCTGCCACTGCTCGGGGGTATAGCACTTGGGTGTCCAAGCATGAATAGCAGCGATCTCGGCCTTGAGCGCGGAGTTGACAAGTCGGTGTCGCGCAAGCATAGTCTTGCTCTCGAATTGAGGGGAAACGATCACAGCCTGGAATGCCTGTCCACAGCCGCCTATATTAACCCAAAAAGAAAAAGATGTCAGTGAGAGAGACCAAGAGGTAAAAAAAAAAGAGAAATTTCGACGTCATTGCGCCGTTCCCAATTTCATTTTAAATTTTAAATTTCAATGTCCATACCCGATAGATCCTCAACCTCAACATGCTGCGCCTGTAGCACCTCAGTTAACTTATTCTTCAGCGAGTCCGTGGTGATTCCAGATGTGTCAGCCATAGCGGCGTTGATAGCGGCGTAGGAGCGCGCGGTAATGGAAAATGAAGCCCGCTGAATGTTATTGTGAGGGCGGAGGAGATAGCGGCAGCTTCTGCTTAGGGCGGTTAAGGAGGAGGTGCGGGAGAACATGAAGTATGATCGGAGGAGAGAGGGAGAGGGATATGACGAGAAGAGATAAAGTGCTAAACCCGAGGTTATCGCGAAGTATGCGAGTTGCTCTTATTACAAATTCAAAGCTTCCGGTCGGTTGTGGCTGGTGAGTGGCACGTGTATGGCTTAGTATCATTTTCCGTCCGTTGTTCTTCTTCGCCCTTCAACGCGTTGAACGTCTATTCATGAATTTTCTTCGCGCTGCTACACGTCGATACTCTGCCATGTCTACGCCGTTGAAATTCTCCGAATGCTCGCCATTCACTAATGTTGTGGTGAGCTCTATGAGAAAGCTGTAATTCACCCCCCACTTCATCCCAAAGCTCCCCGCATTGTATGGAGCTTCGTTTGACCTCTTATATGCAGATACCCGGAGGCATTGGCGGATAAGAGCTTCGATAATACAGGATGTAAGTTGTTTATTCAATCGAAATCTCATTTGATTGGTTCTCGCAATGTACTAACCACGCTCAATCGCAGTGCTGCTCGAAGCTCCTTTCGACAAAACCCGGATTCAGAACAACTCGGTCCTCCTCACCATTGACCTCACCACGGCCGTTGCCGACGAAGCCATTAAAAACCGCAACTCAGTTGTCGTCGCATACCGTAAGTCGCATTCAAGGATTCAGCATACTTGCGATTGAACGCCTCGTGAAGCCCTACAAATGTCTACGATTAAACCCCAACCCTAACACAACCCAACCCATACAGACCCAATCATCTTCCGCGGCCTAAAATCCCTCACCTTCGCCGACTCCCAACAACGATCCCTACTCCGCCTAGCCCAACATGGAATCAGCGTCTACTCCCCGCACACAGCAGTCGACACCGTCCCCGACGGCATGGCCGACTGGCTCTGCGACGTAGTGACAGGAAACTTCAAGCCGGTCCAAAAACCCGCCAAAGCTACCATCGAACCCTGCGCCTCGAGCATGTACTCCGCCCCAACCTACCCCGAAGCACCCATCCCCACCGTGCAAGCCCAACCCTCCTCGCAAGGACCAGCGCACACCAGGACCACAATCCACCCATCCCCGCCAGCCTCGATCCCTGAAGGATTCGAGTCGGCCGGTGCCGGCCGTCTGGTGACATTCACTGAGAAACAGTCGCTCACAACCCTGATCGATAACATCGCTTCTGGAATCGGGCTCCCCGGCGGTATCCCCATCGCCATCCCGCAAGGCCAATCTGTCGATGATATCTCCATCCGTACGGTGGGCATGTGTCCCGGTTCGGGCTCCGGTGTGCTTCTCAAGGGTGACGGCGAGCTCCCTGATCTCCTGTTGACTGGTGAAATGAGCCACCATGAGGCTTTGGCTGCGACGGAGCGTGGGTCTGTTGTTATTTCGCTTTCGCACACTAACTCCGAGCGTGGGTATCTGCGTTCGGTGATGCAGCCTAAGCTGCTGGCTGAGGTTAAGCAGCAGTGGGATGAGGCACTCCAGGACTCTGCGAAGACTATTGATGATCTTAAGAAGTTTGATGGGGTTCCGTCGGCGGCTGTGTTCCAGGTTCAGGACCTTTATAAGGGTCAGGGCGATGTTGAGGTGTCTGTTAGTGAGACTGATCGTGACCCCTATGGTATTATGATTTGGCGTGGTAACTAGGCTTGCTCTTGGCTTTGCCCTTAGGACCTAACAATACTACGAGAAGAAAAGTTCATAAATATAGTCACAATCAGAGACATCATGAGAATGCTGTCGATCATAGACACCGAAGTATCTCAGCTAGTACTCAATCAATTCGACTAGACTTATATAACCACATTTGGACTAGAGCTATGCAGTGTGAGGGAGTCTGGTAAGATGTCAAGAAAGTGGTTTGAAATGAGAAGGATATCCTAATGGGTAGACAATGACAGAAACAAAAAAAAGGGTGTCCTGAGGAGAGAATACAAGACAAGATGAAGGACCCAGGTTATACATGGAAGAAATGTAGGCTATCGAGGACATGAAGGAAAAGAAGCTTGAGTTTTTAGCCTTCCTTTCACGGCTTCAACAAACCCACAATTCATCGATGTAGGAAGATTGTGGTGAGTATCGAGTAGCGATAGGGATAGAAATGAAGGAAACAAGAACAATGAGACCGGGTAAAACCAGACCAAGCCCCGAATGACTAAACGAGAAACAGAAAGAGAAGAAAATGAGATAGATGGTATCCGCATGAGTGGCCTTAGTGAAGTCAGGAATGAATCAATAAAGAAGAGCTCCACTAAACAGTGACTAAAGATCAATCAGGCTACCGCCGCCACGCTGCTGCTGCTGCTGACCTCCCCAAGGGTTGTTATTGGCAGGCTGTTGCTGCTGCTGCACATAGCCAGTCTGCTGCGGCATGCCTGTGAATTGTTGGCCGAAATATGGGTTTCCAGTAGCAGTAGCGTGTAGGCGGTCCAAACCCTGACCGGCAGAATTGACGAATGTGCCAGGTGCTGTGTGTTGCGCGGGGATTCGGAGGTCTCCAACATTGCCGAAGGTATCCTGGCCTTCGCCTGACCCGAGAAGAGCGTTGAGGCGAGCATGGTGAGGATTCTGTGGCGGGGTACTCTTTGATGGCTGTGGGGCCTGGAAGCCTGCGATCGGGTTGGGCTGAGTAGGTTGGGCGTACAGTGAGCTTTGGCCATACTGCGCATTGTTCTGGGCAAACTGATTCGTTGCACGGTCCTCTGATAAGGAATTGAGCGTTGGCGGGCCTGTTTGTGCATGGTTGTTGAACTGTGTTTGAGTACGCTGAGCGAATGGGTTGTTTGATCCTGTCGGCATGGGCTTGAGGGCATCAGCAGGCTGCAGTTGATGCTGAGGCTGGTTCCCGGCCCAAGGGTTGTTGCTCCCTGCGGTCTGGTAGTTCTCCTGGGGTTGTTGCTGCTGCTGTTGCGAGAACACATCCCCCCCATAAGGGTTGTTGGGGTTGTATGCGGTCTGCTGCTGTTGGAGAGCGGCTTGTGGCTGTAAAAGGTTGTTCTGTTGCTGGCCGTAAGGGTTCTGATCAAATGCCGAGGGCTGCGCTGGATAGCCGTTGGCGTAAGGGTTGTTCATGCCGGTGGGCTGGTTCTGGAATCCTGTTGGCTGCGCGTACTGGTTGTTCAGGTAACCAGTTGTCATAGGCTGCTGCGCATTGATCGGGTTGCCAAACCAGTCCACAGCACCTTGCTGTTGGTAGCCCTGGTTGTAGCCGGTTGGCTGGACTTGAGGGGCTGGGGTGTCGTCGAAGAGAGCATGGGCGTTGCTCTCTTCCAATTCGCGCTTTCGGAGGTCCTCCTCCTCCCTACTAAGCTTGAGGGCCTTGGCAAGATCCTCGTCGTCCTGAGTTGCCATTGTCTCCTTGGCCCGTCGCCTGCGCTCATCCTCAGCCTCGGCCTTGCTGGCTTCAATAGCTAAGCGGTATTCGGTGTCGGAGTCGTCCTCCCCGTTGCGTCGGCGTCGATCTCTGCGCGGCGGCTCCACGGGGGAGTTTCCGTAGCCTTCATCGAGTCCGCTGACGCGAGTCTTCCAGAGTTTGCGATCTGATCGTTCACTGCGCAAACGATCTTCATCCAGTACCAATGCAGTCAATTCCTTTGCTGCCACGCGAACTACAGAACACCAGCCTGTTAATTTTGCGACCCCTCATGATTTCCAAGAAATAACTTACCGTTCTGGCCAACATCCCTGCTTTCCTCGTCCACGTATGTGAACTCGCGCAAAGTCTTGATAATATAGACATTTTTCCGGGCCCACGTTACCACCAACTCCGAGCCTTCGTGGAGACAGTAGTCCAAGACCTTCAGTGACTTCAGCACGTGGCGCCAATTCTTGCCTTTATCGTTGAGTCGCTTGTCAAGCATGTCCATGATCTCGTAGAACTCGTTCGGACTATTATGCAAACGGGATTAGCGGCGCCCACCGGGTTGATCGCAAGACTCAACTCACCTCCCGAAAGTCATGGCGGCGATCTCGGACATTTCGGTGCCCGTAGGGCCCCATGGGTCGTTACTAGTGGCTGAAAATGTAAGTTAGCAACTTGATCACAATGTATGCGGGGTGCATGGGCGCAATGCAGCAAGCAACCCCCCGGGAAAAGACAGGGGCAGCAGGCCGTGGCAACAGCATTTCTGCCACATGCGACCACAACTCGATGCTCATCCAGAAGTTCGATGTGGTGGAATCGGCTCATACCATTTCGGACCTTGACCTGCACTGAGGAATATCCTTTTGTGACGTTCTTCACACTCCGTACGACTTTAGACATGGTGGCGGTGATGCGACGATCGCAGTTTTAAGGTGGATGGAATGGATCGTAATCGTCTGGTGGAAATGGATGCAAAGGATTATCGCAAAGTATTAGACTGCCAAGCACACACAGCCCTCTTTCTCCGTATCGCGGCCCAAGATGTCAAGCGTGTCACTCCGGCTCTGAAAGGAATAGAGTGGCAGATTGATCCCAGGGGGGTCAGGGAATTGAGCTTTATATTGCCTGGGAAAGAAATATTGGCAAACAATAGTCGACAGTCAACGGATGAAAGGTGAAAAGTGAAAGAGAGGAGAGGGGATGGCTCGAACGGGGGGAATGAGAGGGCTTGGCAGTGACGAAGGCAGTTGAACCAAACTTATATACCTGGCAATTATTTAAGATCTACACTTGGACCCTTTTAGTGAAGAATTTTTTTATTTCATTTGTTAATATTACAAAGCCTGGAGTAAAGCAAAAATCATCTCCAAAATCATTTAAATAGTCAATGTACAGTGCATGTCCAAGTACCGTTGCGCCCTCGTGGCCGGAGGTCCGGTCTAATCGCCGTGATCTTACTTTTTCTCCTTTTTTCCCTCTATCTATAGCCCAGACCAAACAATTCCCTATCTCACTTCTACATTTTGATCTTATTTGACGTATATGCATGCTGTCAGAGCCAATTCCAATTCCTGTATCTCAAAAAAGACTGTATAAGAAACATGGCATGTTTCCCGCCACATGTGGCGCCCTTGGGCCGCGTAAGAAGAACCTTGGTTGTGCTCAGGCAACAGTCAATTGATGTCTTGGAAATTGGACTTAGGTACCTATGTTGTATGTAGCATTTGAAGTACGATATACAGAAACTAGTATACATCAAATGTTCATATCATTTTGAGATCCCATGAAGAACCGGGCTACGTCATTTTATTTTCTGCACAATGCAAGAACACTCTTGGCGCTCCGATCTAGGTCCCACATTGGGGTTGATAACGAAGTTCTATATCCACCATTTTTCTTACTATCCACATTGTTGGAAACAAATACAGCCTCTGAGAACAATTATATTACTGGGCTATGTAGATGCTGATTGAGCCATGCTCGGTACTTACATGTATATATGTGCAGATCACCAATGATCAATGAACTGTCAGAGACAGCACATATCTATAGCAGGATTGGATACAAAACGGAGTCTGACCCATCCAATCTGCGTGGCCTACCAATACACCCAGTTCCTAGAGTTGAATATTATGCCTCCTCCCTGAATACCTCTACTTCATATCCAGAGACAGCTTCCGACACTAGTGTAGACATCAATCTCAAAGCTACAGGTCTGAAACTTGAAATGTGTTGACAATGTATCTAGGTAGTTGAACAAACAACTAGGAGTGTATTCCGTGGGTCCGCCAATGGCTACTTGAGCCCAAATACTCAGCCATGACTTTATTAAAGGGCTCGCACGAGAACTGGTGTTTGATCTGGGTGTGGACAGAGCATGTGGGAAGATACTCTCAGCAAATGGGTAATGCTGATGTCTCTCCATGGGTATGCACGCACCAGCTGGTTGGGGACCCTCCGCCTACGCTGTCTCATGGGGGCTACGGTGAGATGGTGGTCAAGAGGGTTGGGGAGAGAGAGAAGAGAAGAGGAAGAAGGGAGATGGGGGTTCTTTTATACCCCCCCCCAACAACCCGTACCTTCCTAAAGTGGACAGCCCCCTCTCACCTTCCCTGGCTGTCAATGCTACATGTTTACCTTCCCAATCTGTATACATACATTTGTTTACACAGGGCCCTCTAGGAAAGAGCCATGGAGCCAGTGTCGCGCTTGCATGATCCAGGCACTTTGGCTACATATTCATGGATAAAAACAATTAGATAGAGTAATCTTTGCAATATCAAGTCTTAGAATGTTATTCAAGGATCTCAAGCAACGTCATCCGCCAGACCATCAGCAATACTTTCAATAAACCCTTTATTCTGCATCCCATCCACCCATTCACTAGGAATAGCATCAAATTCATAGAACGATCCCGCAAGACCTCCATACACAGCCCCTGCAGTATCCGAGTCACCACCCAAATTGACGACTGCCAAGGCTCCATCTTTCCAGGTATCATACTTGAAGAATGCCCACAGAGCACACTCAAGTGTATCAACAACCCATCCACTACTTGTCATATCACTAGGCGCCTTGATCTTCCAGTCGCTGATTGTTCTGTATCTGTCCCGTGACAAGCGCTCCTTCAGTTCAGGATGAGTAAATGGGAATGTGGAGACCGCATGGAAGAGTTGCTTCTTCGTTTGACCTATAAAAAACGTCAGTAGCAATTCTTGAAAGGAAACAGAGAATCAGAACACCAACCATTCATAACCCTACACACCAACTCCGTATACGCTTCACAGGCTTCCACACACGCGAGCGCAGGATGAGTGATCTGGCTTTGTTTTCTGGCAATTTTCCTCGCCCGTTCAGAATCTCGCCAGTAAACCAACCCAATCGGGACGATCCTCATCAAGCTCCCGTTCCCAGAGAATTCATTGTAATCCAATCTGTCGGAGACCATCGCCTGGGCAAGTTCGAAATCTCCCTCCATGCCATACTTCGCCCATATCCGAAGGGAGGTGCGAGTGGAGCGGCCTACATCCCATGAGTGGTTGACAGTGCTGAAATGGCCTTTGGTCATCCACTCGACAAAGTATTGGATTGACAGCTCGTGGTTGTATTGCATGTTGGACTTGTTGAAGGAGCATGCCAAGGCTAGTGTCATAGATCCGTCGTCGGAGTAGGATCTTGTTCATGTTAGTCACAATTACCTAGCATATATTATTATAATGGGAACTCACCCAGCTGGTTGTTTGAAGGGCGCGACAAATCTTAAGCATGTGATCGGCTCGAATGTTCCTGCGTCTCTGAATTGTACAGGGCCGCCGAGTGCGTCCGCTACGCAGACGCCCCAGATGGCGCCTTTGGTACGAGATTTCAATGACGGAGACATATTCAGCTGATGTTGATGTGGATGTTTTGTTTCGTTTTTTTTGTTCCGAGGTTATTTCGTCTTATTTAAAGATGTCGGAAGTGACTCAAAGAGGGAAGAACCTTGGAAAGTTAGAAAACCTTCAGATATTGAGTCACCAGGGCACAGTACTAGCCAAGGAACTAAAAGAACCTCAATATTACAGAAAGTTAAATGTGATATTCTAGTGCAATAACCAATACGAGCCTCGGGATGATGGGTATGGAGTACAGGCTACGCCTCACGCTAGGCAGCTGTGTCCACAGCCTCACATACTCCTCCGAGGCTCAGCTGTCGCTAAGGATCTACGGCTGTGGCTGAATATTCTCCACTAGGGCTGCAAGTGTGCAAAACTGCCTATGCTTTTAGACGAATAAAGCAGCGCATGCTCAATCATAGCGCATGCTCAATCATAGCCCACGCCCGAAAGAAGTATATAATTTACTGACTAAACATCTACTTATGACGAGGCTAGCTAAAATCTTTGGCAGGCTGCCCATTAGTTTCCTTCCCTAAATCCTCTACTGTCTTCCACTTCCACAGCCGCTGGCCAGGGTTAACAAGCTCATTGTCATCCCCAAGAAAGCAGGAGTATGCGCAATACCCCCATCACCCATCAAGAACCACATATAAGCCGCCGGATCCCACGAAGGCTCAGCAGTAGTCTCCTTCTTATATTTCTCATAGGGGAGACATTCAATATCATTGCGTCCCGCACCAGTAGACTCCATGATACCCGCGATCTCCTCAACAGAGCGCGAATCACCGCCAACATGAACAGCATCAGGAATATTCTCTGTCGGCATAGTCGCCAATGAAGCAACTGCCCTACCGACATCCCCAAGCGAGGTAAAAGAAACCGGCGTGCGGAACGACCCGACACTAGTATACTTCCCGCTCTCAGTATCGAGACCGAACCACGGCCCGATACTGTCTTCTAGGAACAGGCCGCAGAATACGCGACAAATCTTCATATATGAGACGACTCGCTGCGCATTCGCAAGATGCTTCTTCTTTTCGCCCCATTCTAGGTGGGCGAAGTCATGGCCGTAGTGGTCGACACCGAATTCGGAGCGGAAGTAGACTCGGATGTTAGTTCTGGGGAGTGCGGCAGCGATCTTTGTTTTGAAGTCGTGGCCCGCATGCCCAATTGTGTTTACGAGGATTTGGACGCCTTGAAGGGATTCTTCGAGGTTGGTCTCGTTGTAGCGGCGTGTTGTGAGCTTTACACCGGATTGGAAGGAGGATTGCTGGAAGAGACAGGACTCGTTTCTTGAGAGGATAATTATCTCGGAGAATTTGTCTTGGAAGCCAGGGGAGAGGAAGGCTGTTGTGACGTGCTTGCCTAGATGTCCGGTGGCTCCGGCGATGGCGACGACTGGTCGTGTTATGGATGCCATGTATGCGATTGAGCACTCTTGAAGAGATTGTCTAGGATGTAAGGATAAGAAGGGAACTTGGGGTAATTTTCAAGTTATATCTACGTACATGTACCCTACTTCGCTATGTTGACTGTGTTCTTTGCGTCATTGGCAGACCAAACCACCATCCCGAGGTCCGAACAAAGCCCTGATTGGCTCACAATTGTATAGATCTGAAGTGTTGCTCGGGCTTGATCCAGCTCGGAGTATGCTGGGAGTGCAATATATATAGGGACTTGGCACATGATATGTTGGGGCATGGTGAGTCGTGGTTGAAACCAATATATGTTAGAATGAGATGAGCATAAATTGGGTATTATTCCATGAAATTCTACCCAGGCCACATAAACCCGAAATCTAAACCCGACAAATGCCAATGCGAGGGAGCATGTGGCCCTCAGAATGCCGCTTGTCCCCGCATCAAAACACCAGGTCCCATTGTGCAACGCGAGGGACCGACGCTTCTGCTAAAAAAAAAGGAGAAGAAGGAAACATAACCAGCCTGCTTGTGCTTTTGTTCCTAAATCCAAGTTCATTGCTTCTCCATACTTAGGTATTTAGCCTCAGCGCCCTTGATGCACGCAATGTTGGCACCAAGCTTGTTGATCGTTTCAATATACTCATCATAGGGGTCCGAGTCAAAGACAATACCACCACCAGCCTGGAGGTACGCCACGCCGTCCTTGACCATCATAGTGCGCAGCGCAATGCATGTGTCCATCGCACCTGGCATCTCCGCCGATCCATCTGGGTTGGCGCTGTTATATCCAAAGTATCCGACGGCGCCAGCGTAGACACCACGCTTTTCGCCCTCCAGTTCAGCGATGAGTTGCATGGCGCGCACCTTGGGTGCACCGGAAACTGTGCCGGCAGGGAAGATAGACCGGAATGCATCGAAGCGGGTCATACCTGGCCGCAACTGTCCGGATACCTGGGAGACCAGGTGTTGGACGTGTGAGAACTTCTCCACGACCATCAGTCGGTCAACCTGTGTCGTAGTGGGGTCGCAGACCCGGTTCACGTCGTTGCGGGCAAGATCGACCAACATGACGTGCTCGGCGCGGTCCTTAAGACTGCTGCGGAGCTCCTCGGAGAGAGCAGCATCCTCCTCCGGGGTCTTACCGCGCTTCACTGTGCCTGCGATGGGGTGACTGATAATACGCCCCCGCTCTTCTTTTACTAGGAGCTCGGGACTGGCTCCAACAAGCTGGAAGTCTTGGCAGTCGATATAGAAGAGATAAGGAGAAGGGTTGACGGTGCGAAGGTGGCGGAAGAGGTTGAATGGGTGGAGAGAGGTAGGTCGTGATAACCGCTGTGAAGGCACGGTCTGGAAAATGTCGCCCTTGGCAATGTGCTGCTTCAATCGGTTGACATGGCCTTCATATCCATCCCGTCCGATGTTGGATGTATACTCCTGGTTCGGAATGATCGGGCCCTGGGGCGGGAGCGGCGTGCGATCCTGGAGTAGCGTATCGATCGTCTTCTGGATGATGGCCTGGCCCTTGAGGTATGAGGCCTCGATATCGGCGTCCGCCGAGGGAATGGGAACGTAGGTGATGACCTTGACGACTTGGAAGAAGTGATCGAATGCAATGATGGTATCGTAAAGCATGAAGAATGATTCGGGCACTCCGAGGACGTCCTTCATCGGCCGCGCCGTCTTGGGCTCAAAGTATCTAACACAGTCGTATCCAACATAACCGATCGCTCCGGCGGTCAACGGCGGGAGAACCAATTCAGGCACTGTCGCGACGCGGTACTGAGAAAGCTCCTTCTCGAGGTATGGGAGGGGATCCGCTGCTGGGCCATGGCCCTCGCCAGTCTTGATGACCTTTCTGGGGTCTGTATGTGAGGAAGAGGTAAGCGATGGAATCAGACAAAAGACTCCCGGAATCACCCACCTGCGCCAATAAAGCTGTATCGCCCAATAGTCTCTGTGGTGGCAGCACTTTCATACAAGAATGACAACCGCGAGCTATGCCTGTGAGTCAGTGATCTTGTCCAATATTGCTATGCCCGGCCTTATCGCCAATGTTGAAAACAACCCAATGACTCACTTCTCTGCGATCTTCAAGTATGCCAATGTTGGGGTCAAGAGGTCGGCAGGGATTGACGCCGTGACAGGAAGTAGGTTGGGAGGAAACTCGGAGTTCCTCGACTTTGAGATCACTTCTCGCGCCGTCTCAAGGGACGGGATGCTGGGGACCTGAGTCATTGGTCAATGAGCGTAAACAAAAATATTGACGAAATATCGACGGAGGTGTCAAAGAGCGGAGAAATACAATAGCAAGACAGATGCATAACTTACAGGAGTTGCCATTTTATTATTAGTGGCTGATATTGACGGTGCTAGTAAAGAGGAAGGATTGAGTTGGCGGTGGGAAAATGATTCACCGTGGGGGGTGGATATCTATTGACGGGCGGTCCAGGAATGCGCCCCGGACTGCATGTATTCGATTTGAGGTGTGACAAGATAGCATAATTGTGATATCAAATTTTAGGGCTTATGTATTTATTGAGCAAATTCCGACCAATCTTGAAGAGCTTACACGTCTTACAGGTGTGTCTAGTGATTATATGCATCCAAAAACGGACTAGCGTCGAGGGGTATATCGATTATCGATAAAGCGGCTATAGATGTACCTATATTGTACCCATGTGCAAGGACTCCCTCGTTTGAAAATTGGGGTATTTTCTTGATTATCAGACACTAAGAGTGAGTTTCAGAAATCACAGATCCCACCTGAAATGGGTGAAGGGGGGGGGGGGGGGANAAGGCAAAAGAAAAAGTCCACCGTCGCCAGTCCATGTCATTCGCCGTGCCCACCCAAACCTGTCCCAAGCAATGCATGCCATTATGCATTTTCTAAAGAAAAATGTATGTTCACAAGAAAGTAAGAAAAAAATAATAATCCGGGGACACCATGAAAGGTGATATGTCTTTGAGAGAAAGAGATTGAAAAGGCTTTTCAAGCGGGATTGTCGGATTAGTTCAAGCAGGGCATGAGTCGTGAGTTTTATGTGGTTGGTTTAAGCCTGCCTTGTCATCGTTGCAAGTTGATGATTGCCATCTTGGGAAATTGGATCGTCAGCATGGGGGAAATTGACAGAGGTAAACCAGACCAGAGAGCATACCTGTTTGTTGAAGCCATAAGCCAGTCGTTTTCCATCTGCATCCCAGGAAAGGGCCCGATGGGGTTCTGGTTTTGAATGACCATTCTGTCCATGGTGTCCATTCTGTCCATTGGTCATGCGGTCGGCTTCCTCTTTCTTCACCTCGGGGCTAGTCGCGGTCCAGGTAGACATGAGATTACCATCAGGGTGTTCAATGTTCCAGATAAAGAGTCCGTCCTTGCTAGCCGCACCGAGAGCGTATCCATCGGGGGAGAAAGATCCGGTTATAGCGGGGTTTGAGTCTAGGCTCAGCTGATGAATGTTCGTGTAATCCTTTATATCGAGGTTGACCTGCCAAACCTTGACCTTACCATCCGCTGAGAAAGAGGCAAATTCAATACGATGGGGGTCAAATTGGGGGCTGATATCAATGCCGGTGATTCTGTCCTTGTGGGCGTTGGGGATAAGAATGTCATGGGTGGGGATCCAAATTGAAGCACTCAGTCCAGAAGCCACGATAGCAACCGAATGAGACTCGGTTTGGACACATCGAATAAACTCCCAGGTCGCATTATCTTTGGGAGAAGGATATGTCTTGATCAAACGGATGCTGTTGTCCACCTCGCATTGATAGACTGCACCCTCACCAGAAGCAAATGCCAAGTTGTGTCCACACCATGCGAGATCATAAATATGATTCTCGATTATTTGAGGTGGAGGGAAAACATCTGGTCGGCGGCTGTCGTCCCAAAGCGCAAGTTCCGATACGTTATGATTCGATGCCACAACGACCAGTTGCGAGCTACCAGCTGCCCAGTGTAAGCCAGTGATGAGCCGCGGTACCTCGGGTAGTAGATCCACCGCGTCTCCATTGACATTGTACATGGTAATAGTGCCTCTGTCGTCAGTACAAGTCGCGACGGCCAATTTCTCACCAATGGCATCCCAGGCTACAGTCGAGACACTGGTGTCACCCTTCTTGAGCTCGACGATTTTCTTCTGCACGGGTTCCGATGACATTGACAGCTTCCACAGGCTGCAAAAGAGGTCACCAGCTCCCACAACTACAGTGGGATCCCGAGGGCGCCATACAGCGTGAGTCACGTGATGATCCGGATTCAGCAGGGCGGTGTCGGGAGTCAAATCGATGGGCTTGGCGGGGGCGATCTGGACGGAAGAGCTCTCGCCGTTTTCCAGGGTGGGCGGTAGTTCAGGGATCTCCTCGGCCATGCTGACATCACCATCCTCATCCATATGATCAGGAGTATTTGGTTGACTTTCAGTTTGCGCCTTGTCTTCCATAGATTCATCGCTATCAGTTTCATCTTTTCGGCTGTCCTTTCCGGGCTCGGCATGGCCGTTCACCGGGCGGTCGCGCGCAAGTTGGCCCGGCGAATCTGGGTCTGTGCCGACAGCCTCATCGCGACTTTCCACTGATCCGGGTTTGGCTCCAATTTCAAAGGGCTCTGGTCCGAAAAAATAATCAGATGGTGAAATGTTTTTGTGATTGCCCTCCTGCGCATTGAGATTAGTTTGAATTGCAATTGAGGAACCAAAAAGAAAGTAGATTTTTTCCCCTTTGGCGCGTAAGAACCGTTTAGGTTGAAACACATACCTTGTCTAGCGAGGATTCCATCTCGTGGTATTGCAGGCCCTTTTGGACCAGCGACACCAGCGCATGAGTTTTAATGTAGGGCGCAAACGGGAGAGTCTGTGGATCAGGGAACCACGCGCGCTGCAAAGACACGGCGGCATCGCCATGACCTAGGTTGAGTTAGAGGTCAAATTGAGAAAAAGCCAAGGGGGCAATGAAACCAACCTGCTTCTTGGAGGTACCTATCAAGGATATTAGTTCTGCATGAAATGCATAGGTTGTATTGCACTTACCTCCATATTAAATAGTTGACATGATGCGATGTGAGGTCAGGTTGTGCCATGATTACATGTGCGACCAGCTAAGGGCCGCGGACATGCCAGAGAGGGAAGAGCTGTGCCGATGAACACCAAAGTGGAGGCTTCGATGCGCGGAGACGGAGCTTCAGGAACACGGAACACGAAGCCGGAAGGGGATAGGAACTTCCGGATAAATAGAAAAAGGGGGGGTGCTTGTATTTTCCGCACAGAATTTAAGACTTCGAGAATTGAAGATCGAAGAGAAAGCCAAGACCAGGGAGAAATTGGAGTTTTGGGGGGGAAATGAGAGTGAGAGAGTGGAGGGACGAAGAAGTGAGATGCAGGATCAAAAGAAATAAAAGCTATTCTGTAATCCCATAGAAATAGAAACCAAGTATTCAATGAATAGAGAGATGAGAGAGGGAGAGGGAGAGGAAAGTGAAGATCTGAGATTAAAGGATCCAGAATGTTTGGCAGAAGTCCATTTAGCACACACTAGCCACTGGATCCTCCCTGTGGCGTCGGCTTCTCCTCCACACTTTTTCGACCTTCTCTTCTCCAGTCATTTTTTATTATTAATGAGGTATCAGATTACATTGGGATAACTGCTTGATATTATAAACTTGATCAAACATTCCTGATAATCTACCCTTTGGAACACTCTGAATTCTCAAACAACTCTCCTATTAAGCGCCTAAAAATGGGGTTCTCCACACATCGGGGGATTTCAGCACGAGCACCCTTTAGCACCATTCAAGGTTCCAATCCCAAGTACCGGAGTGCTTATCCCGTGTCACAGCTTACACTTACACGTAAACTTACAATACTATCTACTTGCAGGGATGCTACCTTTCGGAAATCATATACCAATAACCTGAACTGCATCCACCCGAACCTGCAGGTCAATCGCAGATGGTGGATCGTGGCTAATGATGCCGCCAGTTACCGACCTGACATTGCCGCGTCCTTCACGTACGGGGTACTTTTTACCTTTTAAGTTCTTTACAACATACAGTCTTGTTAAGTCAAGGGGGTATACACGACAAAGTCGTTTTGCACATTTCAAGCCTACCATATTCTAGCTACAACATCAATAAGGGTGAGAGCGGAAATTTCTAGAAAAAAAGACATCTAAAAAAGATTTTGAGAATTACTACCGAAAAAGGCGTCACAGGGCTGCATAAGCGGCCGACTAGTTTTTGGATATACTTTGAGTTACTTTCACCTACTGTTGCTACCGATGTTACCTGATGGGGAACTCCTATCACGGAGGAGTGTCTGACAGACGGCTAGGTACTCCGCAAGATGTAAGGTAAGATGTAAGATGTAGGAGGAGGTTATGACACTGGTTCCAAGGTTATTGCTAAATATGAAAATATGAATCGTCAATAACCACCAATATGTCCCACTAACCCGGCTAGTACTTGCTTCGAGATAATCCTATATTCAAATCATATTCAAGAGTAGAACTGAACACAATAAGCCAAAAAAAAGTCAATAATATCCATTAGATAGTAAGGAAAATTAAAAGAGATAATGACATGAAATATAAGCTAACAACCATAATCGAAAGCTACATAGATGTAAAATGTAGAATTGTGCCCTTGAAACATCTCGGGGCTAAACAAATATGGGTACTTCTCCGCCCTCCGCTCCAGTCTCCCACCTCAACTTTCTCCATCTCTACGGCCTGTGGCGTATTGCAGCTCCAAGCGAGCTCCAACATGTCGCTCCGAACCAACATTCCCCCTGCTACTCGAATCTGTCTCGTCAGCCTTCTCACCCTCTCCTTACTATACAATATTGCCAGATGGCGACAAATTGACACCACCGGCGGTACCCCGGCCACATCTCCTCTCGTCCCCTACCTGACCCTCGTCCCCTCGTTCTTTTACTACTATCCCTGGACAATCGTCACGGCCACCTTCGTCGAGCAGAATATATTCACCGTTCTGCTAAACGCTGCCACCATATTTTATGGCGGCAAGTACCTCGAACGCGCGTGGGGCTCGCGCGAGTTCAGCAAGTTCATCGCGGTTGTCGCCGTCATCCCCTGCGTCGCCACCATCCCAATCTACTTGATCTGGGGAGCAGTTGGAGGCTCCTCCAGTAGAGTGTATGCATCCCCCCACCTCAGCCTCCCAACACGAGCAAATCGATTGCCACCACTCTATACCAAACACTAACAAACTTCAAAAAACAGCCTCACCCAAATCTGCGGTGGCGTCTCCATCCAAGCCTCCTTCCTAGTCGCCTTCAAACAGCTCGTCCCAGAACACACCGTAACAGTGTTCAAGGGAATAATCAAAATGC